AAAAAAAAAAAAAAAAACAGTATCTAGTTTCATGAGCAAAGCTGCCACACACAGGATCACATACCATCGATGTGAACTACAGTGATCTGAATCCAAAAGACAACAGTTGACTTTGTATTAATCCTGCAACACAGAGACTTTAAGCAGCTAACTGGTCATTAAGAAAAAAAACATGAAAAGCTATATGCCAAAATACAAAAACTACGACTTTTTATTTAGTGAAGAAATCTTCACTGTACACGACTTGGTTCCTCTTGTCCCTGTAGGAGCCTTTAGTGCTGTTCTGCACCGCTGAGAAAGAAGAGAGACATAGGTGAAGGTTAATCCACACTGTGCAGACCAAGATTATTACTGTTAACTGAAACTAAAATAGAAACTAAAACTAGGTGTGAAAAACACATTTTAGTTTACTTGAAACTGAAATAAAAAAGTATTGTGTACTTATAAAACGAAATAAAAATAAAATACAAATATACAGGAAATGTATTTTGAGGTCAGATTTCTCAACACAACAAGCATGATGAGGCACTGGTGCAAATGTCTACATGACTGTGAGTCACTGCGTTTGTATTGTAATACCTATTCTGATCATTTTTCCCCTGACAAATGGTGCCAACACAAAGAGAGTCTGAATCTTTAAAACAATAAGAAGTGCTGTGTTTACCCAGTGAAGCCCACACAGATTTTCCAGTAGCAGCATCCAGCATGGGCTGCTTCCTGGCGATGCTGACTTTGATGTGAACGTCTCCCACCGTGCTTGCATTCAACTGTGGGACAAAATCAGCAAGTTCAGTACACTTCAGGCTGTCTCCTAGTAAACTAAAAGAATGACTGTATTGTATTATATTTTGATTTATTAGACATTAAAAAAATAGAGCATGAAAGTTCCTTTTTCATCATGGGAATATGATTTAATAAAATACTTTTAATGAGAAATAGTATTATGGTGTAGGTTTTTTTTTAATTGAAATTTAGTGTTTAGAAATGTGTAATTAATCCCCATAATATCTCATAAAGGCAAAGTCATTACTTAACATCCTCATATTTAGAGAACTTCAGTATATTATCTCAGTGTCAAAAACCTTATTTTACATTTTAAAACATTTCCTTTCCAAATTACTGACTAACCACTTACAAGAGGGAAAATACAAGGCTTTGTTGGTAATGAACAACTGAAAAAGATACCAGCAAAATGCACTAATGTAAATAAAAGTTAACACTCTTTTAAATTTCTTTGCTGAATCTTGTTTTTGTTTATTACTAACAGAGAACATCATATGTATAACTGCCAGGTTTTATTTTAGTAGGATAATACCAACCTCAGCTACAGCCTGGTCTGCAGACTCCATCTTCTCAAACGTGATAAATGCACAACTAGAAAGACAAACATGAAACACAAATCACAACGGTATCATGGAATAAAACAGAAGCAGGAGACGACAGTACATGTAATAACACAGGAACACATTCGTAACAGCAGGTAGAGATGACCACAGTGTGTCCACTGAGTCCTTTAATGGTTCCGTACTTGCGTGGGTTGTCCATGGAGAGGTCGATGATGTTTCCATGTTGAGAGAAAGCAGAGCGCAGGCTTTCCTCGGTGAGCCCAGAGCCGTAAACATACACCGTATTCCCCTTTCGCACCCCTCTCCGCTCCGGGTATGAATCTGATCCTGAGAATGAAAACATGGGAGACAGAGAGAAATCACTCATGTGCCCTAGCATGCCATTCGACAACAACCGCTCTGTCAATGGATTAATATTCTGAAAGGATAACTGCATCTCTTTCCTTGTTTAACTGTATAATCTTATCTTGCATCTATAACAACTGAATCGGTTGTGTGATTGGTTACTCACGTCTGAACGGTCCATCTCTGTCTCTGTCTCTGTCTCTTTCCCTGTCCCTGTCCCGTTCCCTGTCCCGTTCTCGATCCCTCTCTCTGCTTCGGTCTCTCTCTCTCTCTCGGTCCCGTTCTCTGTCTCTGCCTCTTTCTCTTTCTCTGTCCCTGTCCCGCTCTCCTTCTCTCTCTCTTTCTCTCTCTCTCTCTCTGTTCCGCTCTCGATCCAGCTCCCGGTCCCGCTCTCGGTCTCGCTCTCTGTCCATTTCACGGCTGGATGACATGCCGCCGCCACCGCCGCCGCCACCGCCGCCGCCTTCTTCCTCATCCCGGTATCGGTCGCTTGAGCTGACGAAGCTGCAGGGGCACACGGGGGAAATTACGTTACACCCACAGATACTCACTGTTAGTGTATTAAACCGGTTGTTTTGCTTATTCATCATGGTTTTATGGGACATTACCTCTCATACAGAGATTTCCTGTGTGCTCTCTTCCCCGACTAGGAGAAACACAAATATGATAACATTAGAATAAGCTGTACCTGTAGCTGTATCTTTTGAACACTACCACTAGGACTCGCCTTGGACAGAAATTCTACATACGGTATCACCCTTGGCTGCCACTGTATTGTTGTAATAGTATTAATTTCCAATAATATTCAAATTGGAATTGATGCTACACCTGAAATAAACTTATAAACATAACAAAGATGACACCAATACCTCAGGTTGTTCTTCATCTGTAGAGACACTCCTTTGAAATGGTAAGAAAGCTGGAACTGGGCCTTTCTCAGGGTCCTGTGGCAGAACAATTAAACAAATAACTAAACAAAAAAAAAAAAAAAAAGCAGGAAAACAGCTGAACATCACCCAAAAAACTGTCTAAAGAATGCAAGCTCACCTTGAGTTTGATTTCCAACATCCGAGAGCGCTTAAAGCCGGAGTTCTTGTTCTCCGATTTGATGGCACTGATGGCGCCCGACTTGATCAGCATCTTCGCTTGCTCTGTCGCCGTTGCGGTGTCAACGACAGGCTGGTCCGACAAAGCTGTTATGAAGGAAAGTGTAAAGTGAATAAAATACACCCAATGTTTTAGCAGATTGTTTGATGAGCAAATAACAAAAAACAGGCTGCTACTGCAACAAACAATAAATAAACATGGAACAGAGGCCAAAATATTTAAATAGGGTCAACTATACAAATATGCAGAGAAGTTATACAAACTGTAAAGATATTTGTTTGTATTTATAGTGAGAATATTTATGAATTACCTTCATTCATTATGTGTTTTCATTTGCTTTTTAAATACTTGCGAACAGGACACAGAGTCTCATCAGGTGTCATAAATTACTGTGTATTAAATTACACACACTGGTATGGACAAGGTGTAATTTTAGTCAGCTGAGTAAAGACAAGTGCTGATTGAGTCAAATGTACTTACTCCGTTTCAAGCCACCCTGGTTGGTCTGGTTAGTTGAACTCTGCTTCTTCAGGGCAAGCAGTGCCTTTTTCTGACAGCGAATCAAGTTTAGTGTTAAAATAACAACAACAATAATAATAATAATAATACAAAGGCTTTAAACGTCGTCCTCTGACTTACACACTCCATAATTGGGAAACAGATTCAACACTCGCCATTAAAACAAATGTGATATTGTACAAATTCAAGTCAAAATGTTAAAAGCTTTCTTACCTTTTTCTTGAGTTTAGCATATTTCTTCTGCAGCGCCTCCTCTTCCTCCGTCAGTGAACTTGGAAACACCACCATACTGGCAGCAGCTACAACACAAACAACTGCATGAACAGCTGGAAACGTGCAACAAAGGTGTAGTAACACAAAAATTAAGCGTTTTCTAACTTTGAACCCGTTCACCGCTGCTGGGTTGGCTCATAATGAGGCGACCCGCCAGAAACCAAAACACGAACACAAATGTAACGATAGCTTCTTCAGAGCTAACAATAAACAGGTGTGGACTATTAAAACTATTAAAACTTACATAAGAGCTTTAATCTAATTAATGCACTCACCCAATTCAAACGGCGCACACCGAGCTCGACAACAACACCGACGCGTAAATATGACGTAGCTGCTGTGACGTGTATTTTTATTTTTTTTATTATTTTATTTTATTTAAAAAAGCCAGCTAGCAAAGCACATACAATGACATCAATTTGGAATTTAATTTAGGAATTAAATAAAGTAAATAAAATAAAAAAATGCACGACACGTTTACGGTTTTTAATTTTGTATCGTAAGTTAACTTCGTGGAGTAGCCACTTCCGCTTGGCATTTTTCGGCAACTTCCGAGGCGACAGTTGTGGCAACTTTTAGCTTTCACTTGCGAGTGGGGACATGGACAGAATAAGTAAGTTGTGGCGTATTAAATGTCAAGCCAGCTTCGACACGGACAATTGAAACGCGTTTCATCTCGCTAACGTCAGCTCGTGTGATGGTGTGGCTGTTAGTGGGTGACGTTAACCAGCAGGCTGTCAATCAGTGCTGCACTCAGCAGCCGCATAGTAATTAATATTATAATTAATATTTACCGTCAGAACTGTGAGCTGTGATAATGTCTGTTCAGTCTTTCTTCAGGCCAGTAAAAGAGTTGAGCTTGCACTGCAGCATGAATGTGCACCAACCTTATTGTGTGTCTTTAGTCCATTCATGGTCTTTATGGCTATTGTTGTTGCCCCCTCCCTCCCTGCAGAGGTGCCCCCCGCGGGCCCCATGGACCTGCCGCTGTCCCTGCTGGAGATGGGTTGCTCTGGCAGGTTTGAGCTCATCACACACCCTTTGCCCGGGCAGCCTTTACCTCCCCAGAGCACGGTCAGTGTGGCGCAGGATGACTGTGTACATTTACTCCTGTACTGCGCATAGGTCCAATTTTTAGGTCCCTACTGGACTTGTGGTTTCATTTTATGCTGCTTTATACTTGTGCTTAATGTCTGCTTAATATTGTACAGTTTACTAGGTCTGTGCATTGGCAGAAATCATGAGACACGGGTTCCGATTCAATATATTGTGATATATCG